GATCAGCCCTCCCAAAATCTTTGGTCTCTGCCCTAGTCAGGCTGAGCAGAGTCCTCTGCACAGTGCTAGTCAGTTAGCATCTGTCCCCTGGGATTGTGACTGGGTGTCCCATGCAGACAACTAATCTTTTTCCTAAGGGGAAAAAATGCAAACCAGTAATTCAGTGTGACAACCTCATTAAAATGATAAAATTAATTATGGCTTTAAAACTTTGTGCAGTGACTGTTTTTAATAACGTGGGAGTTAGAGAATAATGTCAAAAGTTTCAACTCAAAGACCTGGTTTCCTGTCCTGGCACCAGTCCTAGCACTAAATGTTAACACATTAAGCATCCGTACATCTTCATTTTAAGGAGCAATTAGGAGACAGATATACTCACACTGGAATAACATCCCGTTCTTGTGTGTGTGAAAATACACAGGGTGCACTTCCAACAGAAACCCACTGAGCTTTCCCTGAGTCCTTAAGAACTTCTCCATTTGCACAAGGTCACTGAATTCTCAACTGCACTGCAGCAGCTGACAGCTTTTCAGCCTACAGACACAGCTCCACCAAACATATCTTCAAAGAAGGGGTGAAGGTGGCATTAAAAGTGAACACCTACTCTTGTCCTGCATTCCTCAACCTACCAAGCACATCTCCAAGGTCAGACACTCACAGCAGAATGTAGCAAAAGCACTGTAGGAGTGGCTGTAGGAATTAGACCATTCATTTCCCTGAACAGCTTAACTATCTGAGAATACACTCTAAATTACATTACTCTAAAGATGTTCACTGTGGATTAAGCTAAGGTAGGCCAGACTCAGCTGGCTAAGAACACAAAGCTCCAGACCTCAGCTGATGAGTAAGAACTTTCACTGTAACTCAGTGCAGTCACCTCTGTCCCAGAATAGTCTCCAGTTCTCTGCAACTAAACTATCCTAACTGCAAACTCTGATTACCAGCAACAGCTCCAAATAGGAACACACAATCCACTCACAAGAGGGTGGGTTGGCCATGAAGTGTTAATGTAGTAGCCGATCCCAATCTCTACACTTTGTAGTAGTGTTGGCTTCAGAAAGTTCAACTGCTTATGGAGAACACATCTTTTAGGCTCAGTCCTCAGGGAACAAAAAGTTTCTAGCAAAATCTGACAGCTGCTCAAAGCCTACAAGAATGAGAAGAGGATTTAAATCTTAAACTCCATAAGCAATCATCCCCACTGCTCAAATCAGTTTTAAAATTTTCTGCACAATGAAACAACAAGGACCAGGAAAAGAGTAGCTACAGAGAGAAGGGAATCTCCACCATGGCCCCTCTCTAGCAGGGCAGAGATCTAGAGCAGCATAGGAGACCAGGATTTATGGAATCTGCACAGGACCTCATAAGTGGGCAGACTTCTCCTCCATGACATTTAACTTGACATAGCTCACCAGCATGAGGCATTTATATATGAAAAAAAAACCAACAAACAGGAAAAGATTTTGCAGTTGAACAAGGGATAAAAATGATGAGTACTAACACTTGGATGATGTATGTACACCCAAAAAACATCCAAAACTCTTCCCAAAAGGGGGAATTTCAGGTCTTAGAGTGTGTGACTCTCCAAGGCTTGGCAAAGCCACTTATAACCTCACCAAAGTTCAATTTGACTAAGAATGTTTACAAGCACAAAAACTAGGCCAAATTGAGAATGTAAATATTTGGATTCAATTCCCCAAACTTGTCTCTGTCTGCACTGCCAACTAAATCCCAACTGCAGACCAAAAAATCTGAAAAGCAACAGTTGCACACACTTTACAGCACACAGATAAAACTAACACACATGGCACTCAGCAACTGGAAAAGAAAGAAATAGAAAAACCAAAAAGGAAAAACCCCAAAATCATAATCTAAATTAAATTTATTCTAAACAAGACATCAATGAAGTCTGAACCAAAAATCAGCTCTGCTATCATTTCAGACATTGAAAGTCTGATCAGTCCAGATGCTGGTCCTCTGCGCTGCAGGAACCTGGGTTACATTATAAACATAGCTAGATTACTCAAGACCTCATAGACAACATGGTGTTTGTGGCACGCAGTGGTAACTTTGACCTAAACCACATTCTCTTAGGCCAGGACTTCCATTTTTCAGGAAGATGAATTGAGGAAAGACTTCTCTGGAATCAGAGTAATTTATTTGGCAATTTCAGTCCCCTATTCAGAAGTGATTTAGGAGCCCAGATCACCTGGAGTTCTCAACACACACGATCTTCTCTACTTTTACCCCTGTTCTTTTAGGTATAGATGAGAATGGCAACCATGGATTCATGCAAGGGACTTTTGACTTCCAACAAACACAGATCCCAAGGGATACACCATATTCTCAACTGCCAGTTCCCAGCCCCTCTTCAAAAGTGTCAAATGCCTTTCAGTCCTACATCTCCATTGCACATACTCACTCACTGGAGAAAATCAGAGAGGTGAGGGTGTCATTAAGACGAGCAATTTTGTTGTCATATGATAAGAATTTGGGCATCCTTACTTCCACTACAGTAGACTAACAAAAAAAATCCATCCTTTCCCTCTTCGGTTAAGCAGGAAAAGCACAAATCTGTTTCTTTTGCTTTACTCAGCTGTGGGAAACTTGGGTTTACTTTCCAGTTAAAAGCAGGCTCTTCAGCGTACTTCACAGTGACCTCTTCACAAGGGGCTTGTATCATTTCTTTAAATGCCCCTACACTAAAAATACTCCTGCTTCCTAAACATGAGTGTTTAGCAGTTCCAGACATTCTGAGATCCTGCATACCACTTTAATTTTTTTTAAACTGGCAACATTTATTTAACCAGCAATTAAAAAAAGGAGGCCCAGCCGCCCCAGTGATTCTTCCCAGAGGGTCTTAGATGTTTATGAAACACAATGAAAACAATAAAGTGGACAAAATCATGCTATTCCATCAAGTCCTTGGCAAGACTTCCCAACCAAGAATAAATTGGCATGGTATGTTACAGTCAACAGATTACACAATGGTTTACAGGGTCACCAATAATAAGGGGTCACACACTCCTTAAAGAGCTGCAGTGTACATGAAGGCACTTGCTTAAAGCGAAAGAGCAATGCTTGATCCTAAGCTTCTTGGAGCACATTCTGGCAGCCACAGCACAAACATGCTGCAGGGGTAGGGGAGGACAGAAGGCACCTCTCCCCCTGAGCCAGAAGGGCAGTGACTACGCCACACAAGCTGGCTGGGGGAGTTTAGCACCCTGAAGGGAGCAGCAGAAAGCCAGGCCAGGCCAGGGCTCTTATTTCTGCACACAAGAGGAGAACACATGCTACGTCCTTCTAGGAGCAGGACAGTCTTTCATGCCCCAGTGAAGCCCAGCACCTCCATCCCTTTCAACCTGTCCCAAAAGCCTCTTTTCTCACTCCATACTCTTGAGGATACCGGTTCCACTCCAGAAGCAAGATAACAGTTCCATGTCAGTCCAGTCAGTGCAGCACAGACTGTAGCTAACTTTAAAAGATGTTTGACTACACTCCTGAGTAACTCGATAAAGTCATCACCATCGCTATAAATGTGTTGCATTTTATTTTATTTAGTTAGTTATTTTATTTTAAATAACTAACTTTAAAGTAAGAAGGACATGAATGGTTAAACCCATAAATCTTATTCTCATATGTCAATGTGGTAACAGATTTCCACTATGTCACCTGCATAACCTGATCACCACAATGTAAGTTAAATTTTGGTGCTCCTAAAATATAAATTATTTCCTCAAACCTCACCTTAAATGCATGATACTCCTACCTTTGCCCTGTTAACTTACCCTTCCACTATATGGAAATTTTCATCCACCAACTATAAATTAATCATGTATAAACAAAACATTCTTAAGTCTTAAAGGCAAATCAACTTCACTTCAATTCATCCTATCATCAAAAACCAGACTACAACTAACAGTTTCATTCATCTTCCATGGGTTTGGATCACTCCAATTTTATTGGATTATTTAATATATACCTGAAGTTAAATCTGACTAGCCACCATAAAAATGAAAGGAAACCGATTCCCCAAGTCAGTGCAGGGCGTAAAAAACACTACTACTGACACACTCCATGCAGTAATACTACGCACCCAGCTTCATTCAGCTTGACTACTAAATTCGAAATACATTTGAGTGATAAAACTGGAGTAAACACAAGAAGGCTCTCTCGCATGTAACCGCTACTCTTTGATTGCAGTGACCTTAGTAACGCAAACGTTTGGTACCAAGCCAAGAGCAGGACATCTGATTTTCCCACCAAGTGAACTGCGGCAGAACTCCCTTAGCTCTTCAGCCAAATCTGTCCTGGGATCCTAAAGTCTTCCGCCGGAGTCCAGATGGCTCCTCTACATTTTTCAGCACGCACGCAAACACCGCAGCCGGCTGGACCGACGATGCGAGTGGGCATTGGAAGGGAAGTGCCGCAGGTCCCCGTCTCCCCCAGCTCAGAGCTCCACGCTCGGCGCGCTGGCTCCACAGCCGGATTGGAGTTACCCGGTCCGGCCGAAGCGGTCCCGCGGGCTCTGTCCCTCCGCGGGCTCTGTCCCTCCGCGGGCTCTGTCCCTCCGCGGGCTCTGTCCCTCCGCGGTGCTTCTGCCCTCGCCACCCTCGCAAAAAGCAGCGTCCCGCGCGTCACGGCGGCGGCACCAGCGCGGGAGAACCGAGTCCCCGTTCCGCCCGCGCGCCAGGACCCCCGCCCATCTGCGCTCCCCCGGGGCAGGGCAGGGCAGGGTCCCGCCAGGATCGCGGGGCCGGCCCGCACCGGCACGGCCTCTGGCGGCTCCGCTGCCGCGGGGACTCCGCGGAGCCGCAGCTCCCGGCGAGCCCCCGCCGCCCGCCGCCGCGCATCCCCGGCCCGCCCCGCTCGCGGGAGGCTCTCGGCGCGCAGGGACGGCCACCCGGAGCACGAGCAATCGTTTCTCCCCCCAGTCCCGCTCCCCTGCCCCGGTCCCCGGAGGCGACCACCGCCCGGCAGCGTGCCTCCCCGGCCCTTACCGAGGTGCGCAGGGATGCGCTCCCTCCGCCGGCCGCCTGCAGCCCCCGTCCCGCAGCCCGGGCGATTGTAGTTTTTTTGGAGAAGCTGGGAAGAGGGAAAGAAAGGGGGGAGGGAAGGGGGTGGGAAGGGACTGAGATCGAAGGAGAGAGAAGTATGCAAAGGCAGGAAGTGGAGACGGCCACGACCAGTGCGGGAGATTAATGGGAACCAGTCACCCGGCAGCCAACAAAGAAACCTGCTCCCCAGCGCAGCGCAGCCCGGCCCGGGCTGCAGCCCGGGCTGCCGAGCCACCGCTCCCGCCGGCAGCACTCGCCCCGGCCCCGCGGAGGGGTGGGCACCGCCTCCCCCAGCCCCAAACCCGGGTCCCGGACAGGAGTGAGGGAGGGGAGCAAGAGAGGCAGGGCCGGCTGGTCCGCGGGGAGATGCGATGGGCACAGGGAGGAGGAGAGGACCGAGCCCCCCCAGCTGACAGCCTTCCTCCTCGCTCTAGCCCGGAGGGGCGATGCCGCTTGGTCTTTATTTAAAACACTCCGAGCGCTGGGCTCCTCTCGGGGCAGAGCCGCTTGCGGGGCAGAGCGGAAGGGAGGAGGAGTGCGGGAGGCGCGCTTCCTGCGCCAGGCGCGGGGCAGATGGCTCCCGTAAAGATCAGGGAGCTGCGAACCAGGGAGGTTTTCCGAGCTCCGCGGGGTAGTGCTCCACTAACAGCACCTGCGGAGGACGAGGGAGGCAGCGGCGTGCCTCTGCGCTTCGTGCCGGGTTCCTCGGGTTGGGATACAACCTCCCGGGAGCAGCTTCTGGCAGCAATGTGGAATGCTCAGCTCCCTGGCACCGCAGCCTGAGTGTCCCGCTCGCTGGCATGGCCCAGCCAGGGCTCCCAGGGCATCGCGCCTACCTGGGGTAAAGAAAGTCCCTGAGTGCAACACTGTCTGTGCAGGCCACCAACAGCATTGTGCAGGCCACCTCCCTGGCACACCGGCTTCTGATCGTTTGTCAGATGAGAAATTATTATTTTGCTATAAAATAATACAGAAGAGGCAGGATGCTAGCTCTTAGCAGGACCATGAGTATTGCAAAATACAGAGACTGTTCCTAGATCTTGAAGTGTTATGTGGGCATTGATAGATCAAGTCACTTCACAATAAATTAACCAAATTATTCTAGGTACAGAAGAAAAATAAAGAGCAGTCTGTATTCTGCAGTTTGAAATACAAATTCCAGCACTACGCATTTCTGGAACTTTTAAGCACTTACTGACTTTCTTTCCTTTGACTGAAATGGAAGTAAAATAGTGTTCAGCATCAGGCAAATGCTTAAAAGCTTTCCTGCTCAAGGATACCTCCCTGGGCCCAGAACCAAGTGCTCAGGATAAACTATTCCTGGTTTTTGCCACCTCACCAGTAAAATGAAATTCACTGTGCTCAGGATAAACTATTCCTGGCTTTTGCCACCTCACCAGCAAAATGAAATACATTGTCTTCAGATATTCTGATCTATCATCCCACGCAAAGAGGAATCTGGTGGAAATGCCCAGCATTTCACAAACCTCCATTATATTTCAAAAGAATAAATGTACAGGAAATAAGGGTAACTCTCATCTGGATTATTATGTGAATGTGTGTTTCAAAGCAAAAGCTATTTCAGCTGTCAGCCTTCTTGGGACAGATGTATTTACTCAGCTGCAAAAGGAGTACTGTGTCACCAAACATCAAAAAATGGTGGGAGTTTAAATTTCAACACAACAGGAATAATTTACCTCCTGAACAACAAGCTACTGCTGCAAGTACCTGGCAGGAATAAAAAATGAACACAGTTTTCTCTCTGTGTTATGAAAGGACATAGGAGTCTATTTCAAGTCTATTTCACAAGAGCAGCAACATAGCAAACCCACTCACCTCTCCAGGAGACCATTGCTAACAAGCATGATGCAAAGATGTTCAGCTTCCAATTATGCAGGAAGCAGTCTGTTCTGGCTGCTTCTCCACCACATCAAACACACTAACATGGCTTTTATCAAATATTATTTTTCTCCCCGCTTTATGTTGCATTCAGTTCCCCAGATCTCAAACACTCCAGCAATTTGTCTAAATTTTCTTTGGAGTACAGGAGACCAAACTTAAAGTTAAGCTGGATTTGAACACTGAATGGGGGCTTTCAATGCATTAATGAGCAAGCAGCCTGTGAAGGGCTTGTTTATTGCGGGGGCTGGCTGCTGCTCTGCTTAAGCAACTGGGGGATGACAACAAAATGTAAACTAGGAGAGGATTATTTTTCTTGCTTGTCAAAGACATTACAGCTAGCAAAGCTCTCAACAAGAATGAAGGACTTGAAGGATCGGGGTCTACATGTTATCCTTGGCCATATGGGACTTAAAGAAAGTTTTAATGCTTATTTTTCCTTACTACGGTCACCTCGGTGCACACGAGCTTGGCGAGGGCTCGAAGGGGCTCTACTCCCACGTAGCCACGGCCGCTTCCCAAGCCGCTGCGG